TGCAACGAAAATAAAAAATGTCGCAAATTAAATTTTTATTATTTTTTTTAATATTCCCGACAAACTTATAAATTTTCCCAACAAACTTATAAATATTCTGGACCAACCTATAAAAAACGTTGCTAGTTAATATTTTTATTTTATTTTTACTTTAATAACTAAAATTAACATTCTACGTTGCAAAATATTTTCCCTAAAAATATTTTCACAAACCAACATTACTTTTTTCTTTTTTTTCACATTATGCCACGTTTATGTATATCGAATACAAAAAGTATAGAAAATTACCAAAACCTGTCCCTTCCACAATTCTTCCTCCCACAACCTGTCCAATACCTTTGCCAGATTTCCACTTGGGATTGGGTCAATTTGTAAAACAAAAAAAATAAAAAAAAAAGAAGAAAAAAAATTCAGGGAAAACCCCCTATTTTCTCTGCCGACAGCTACCAAAATTACACTCAAGACAAAGCAGTTTTTCAAATCCACAGAGTAATAGTTAAGGAACACGAAATTAGACACCCCAAACCACTAATCCCAATAACTTAACCAAGTCGTTACAAATATTTAATAAGTTTAAATTAACATAAAATATGAGACTTACAAGAATCATATAGAGTCCGCACTTTTATATAGAGATGCAAAAACTCACCTAATAATTTTTCAATGGGATCTTTACCTCAGCAATGTGGGGGTAGGAAACGATTTGGTTCAAGAGTGAGGGCAAGAAACACTCCGGTTAGCAGGGGGAGGGGAACAAAGAGAATAGCGATGATGAGAGAGAGAGAGAGAAAGAGAGACAGTACTGTGTATGTCGACTGAAATAAGCAAAAAGGGAGATATTCGAAAAGTGAGAAAAAGGGGAAAAAAGGATGGGCAATGGATTTCAATTTATGTAGTTAGTTTTTTTTTTAATGTCCAAAACAACGTCATTTTGAATTTGTTTTTAAATTATATTAGGTGACGAACATATTGTCACACTTTAATATTTTTATTTTATTTTACCTATAAATGTGGTTGTAATTTATATTCTACGACGAAATTAAAAATTTTGCAATTTAATATTTTTATTTTATTTTTTTTTATTTTTTATTTTTTATTTTTTTTTTGCAACAATTTTTTTTACCAAACTAAAAAATTTTCATTTCCCGTTATTGCTCGCGCAAAAAAAGAGATAAAGAATGACAAATTTGCGACGAAAAAAAGTCGTGCATTAAATATTTTTAATTTATTTTAATTTTAATTTTAGCTTATTTATTTTTACGATAAAGAAAAAATATATGAGCCAAACAAAATTTTGTCGTAAAACATTATCAGTTCTCGCCATTTCTCGCAACGTTTTTCACAAACGCCGCAAAACATTTGCAACAAAACTATTTGCAACACAATTATTAAATCGTCTCGGACAGTACAATTTTTGCGACGAAACAAAAATGTCGCAATTAATATTCTAATTCTAATTTAAAATTACAAAATAAATTCTAATTTGCCATGAATATTAGAACGTCACGAAATAATAATTTTATTTAATATAAAATAAAAATTATATTCTACGACGATTTTATAAAAAGGTCGCGAAAAAACACCTATTCCCGCCCTTTTCTAGCGCCAAAAAATTTTGGTGGGAATCACATTTTCCAAAAAAATTGTCAAATACACTATTTGCAACAAAAATATGAAATCGTCGCGAAAAATTAAATTTTTGCGACGAAAAGAAAAACATCACAATTAATATTTTAATTCTAATTTCCGATGAATATTAAAACGTCATGAAATAATAATTTTATTTAATAAAAAAATTATATTCTGCAACGAATTTATAAAAACGTATCAAAAAAAAAAAAATTCCCGACAAAATATTTAAAAACATCAAAAATTAATATTAATTAAAGTTTATATTTGGCGACGATAATATTAAACGTCGCGAATTAAATATTTTGAGTTTAGTTTTATTTTAAATTTTAAATATTTTTTTTATGACGAAGTAAACTATCCGCGACAAACAAATTTTGTCTCAAAAAATATCAACTCCTACCATTTTTCTTGCGCCAAAAAAAATTTGGTGGGAAATACCTTTTCGCGACGTTTTTTAAAAAACGTCACAAAAAAATTTGCCAAAATCAGTTTTTGCGACAAAATTATTAAATTGTCACGGAAAGTTCATTTTTGCAATGAAAAAAAAAACATCGCAAAAAAAATCGTCGCAAAAAGTAATTTTTATTGTAGTGCATTGATTCGTAGTAAGCAAGGCCTACATAAGTAGAGATCGATTCTCCTTCATGAATGGGCAAATGTCTATCCGTTTGAATGAAAAATTTGATCGTCGGTCCATAATTCAATATATTTACGAAAGAATCCTCAAATAGAGAAATCCATTTTTATCGATGTAAAAAAAGGTTTTAGTAGAGACCTGATATATTGAGCAACATACAGGTATGACTATAATACATAATGTCATTAACATAGTTGAAACACCTTGATGATTTTGCAAAGAGACCAAAGAGGATCAAAAGACCCAAGAGAGCCAACCACCTGAACGAACCCAGGGGTCAACCATTAAGAATTAAATGAAGTGATTAGAAGAGGAATCCAAGTGTGCCACTTGATTCCTAGTAGGCAGTGCCTACAGAAGTGAAGATCAATTCTATACAAAAACTGACAAGGACTAAATATTCACCTACACATAACCCCATTGGGAGTAAGCATCGATTATTTTTAGAAAGCATGAAATAAAACTAGTATAAAAACCAAGAGCAAAATATTTACCTTAAGCGTAGTGTGCCGCTATATGGACATTGGGCTAAGAACAAGCCTCAAAGGAGAGGCTATTCCCGGGTGGACTATTGTTCACGCTAAAAGTCTATGGAAATCACTTGTCATGATCATTCAACATTTTTTTAATGAACATTACAATAGCTCCAGTTCAAACAATTTTCCTTTGGCCCATGTGACAATTATAGCAAGGAGAATTCTTATTATTTTCTGGTGTTGTTATCTACTTGAGCCTTCTCAAGACAAAGCCTATGCCGACCAACGCTTGGATCATGGGGTAAGAATTTGGTGATAGATTTGCCAAAGCCACGTTGTTATGATCCAGATACGAATAGCTTTATGACCAAGGAAGTCAATCAAAATGGAGAAAGAGACCGGAGGCCAACTGTTTGATATGGTGAAGTGACTGAAGATGGTTGGAAATATGATAAACTACAAGAAAGGTGGAAAAATTTGACATTTAATTTCCGGCGTTTAACTTAAACACCACTAAAATTGGCATATGTTTATAGACGCCAAAAATTATTAATAAAAAAAAAAAATGGTTTAATTTTCGGCTCAAACGCCACAAACTATTAATGAAAATAATTAAAAAAAAGATTAATTGCACTATAGATCCTCAAAATATGAGGTGTCTCATTTTTTGTCTCTAATATTTCAATTGCATCATTTTGATCCCTGAAATATTGAATATATTTCTGTATGATTCTTTAAGCAAACAATATCTAAATTACTACCGATTTTTTAACATAAACTTGTTATGTAATAGCTAAATATAGATAAAAATAAGTTTAATAGCTCTTAAATAAAATTTGAATAGCTTTTAACAAAAAAAATTGTAATATGGGTAAGTTTTGACCAAATTTTGGATTGTTCGTGATCAAAATTGTGTAATTTAAGTAGATATTTAACTAAAATTTGAGTAAAAATTTGATCTAGAATTTTTTAAATTATTTTTTTATCCATATTTAAGTATCATGTGACAATTTTATAATAAAAAATTATTAATAATTTGAACACTGTTTACACCAGGAAACATATAAAAATATATACAATAACCAAAACAATGCAATTAAACGGGAGACAAATTTTTTGGGACTTCCGATCCAATTAACCCAAAAAAAAAATTTCCCCCCAACATAAACCAAAATTTTTCTCCAATTGATTCTATCGACTTCTCTCTCTCCGACGAACTCCTCCTCTACGAGTGTTCGAGACTACCTCAGGCGACAGGCAATTTCGACTACCTCAGGCAGCTCCAAAGTCTCCGGCGACTTCAATTGTGTCTCAAACTGGTCTCTCAATCCAAAACCCATCATTCATCCCTCTCTTCGGGTGAAAATCCCTCCACCACATCTCCACCGAATCACAGCCACCACTTCGGCGTGATATTGAGTTCGGTAATTAGTTTGTTATTGTTGATTTTGNGAGAGAGAGAGAAAGAGAGACAGTACTGTGTATGTCGACTGAAATAAGCAAAAAGGAAGATATTCGGAAAGTGAGAAAAAGGGAAAAAAAGGATGGGCAATGGATTTCAATTTATGTAGTTAGTTTTTTTTTTTTAATGTCCAAAACGACGTCATTTTGAATTTGTTTTTAAATTATATTAGGTGACGAACATACTGTCACACTTTAATATTTTTATTTTATTTTACCTATAAATGTGGTTGTAATTTATATTCTACGACGAAAATAAAAATTTCGCAATTTAATATTTTTATTTTATTTTGTTTTATTTTTTATTTTTTATTTTTTTTTTGCAACAATTTTTTTTACCAAACTAAAAAATTTTCATTTCCCGCTATTGCTCGCGCAAAAAAAGAGATAAAGAATGACAAATTTGTGACGAAAAAAAGTCGTGCATTAAATATTTTTAATTTATTTTAATTTTAATTTTAGCTTATTTATTTTTACGATAAAGAAAAACTNTTTGTTATTGTTGATTTTGTATCTAAAAGATCCAAGGTCCACTGAATCACAGTCGCTCACAAACACAATCATAGTTTCACACATTGATTCATATTTCTGTTTNTGTATCTAAAAGATCCAAGGTCCACTGAATCACAGTCGCTCACAAACACAATCATACTTTCACACATTGATTCATATTTCTGTTTTTTTTTTCACTTTATTGCGATGTAGATCTGCTGACAAAGGATTATATCTCCAATTAGAAATTTTCGGTTCCATATTTCTGCACATATGAACTAAAGGATTCGGTTGAGGCTCATATGAACTCTGGTTCGTTCGTTCGTTGATGGTGTTCAAGTTTTTTTTGGCTATAAATTTCTATTTACTGGAAATTCGAGAAAACACTGACATCCACACCACTCCGTTAAGCTTAGTGAGATCATTTTTTTAATTAGTTGATTGGATTATTGCATTAACATTTGAGAACAAAATCAGCATAAAAATATACAATTCAGAACTTCATTTCTCGTTCTTGTAGTCTAGTATCCAGGATTCCAATCGGGTTGTACATTGTGTGGCACGATATACAGGGAGGCAGTGGTGATATCTGTTAATAATATATCAGGATTCGTATCTATAGATAAGGACGGAAGTTGGGTTTGCACTGGCGGACATAAGCACAAAACAAAGCATCATCCAGATCCTGTAAGTTGTGATTCCTTTTTTTGCTTATGTGATTAATTTATTTACCACAGTTCCAGCGATTTTATCCCCTGATTAATGCTTTCATAGAATTGATAATTTGCTTTGGGCTTCTAGCTGTTTTTTTTCCCTGTACCTCATGATCTAATTAATTAATCGAGTGTGATTACTGTAAATATGTAAGGGACTATTTCTGATATCTTTTTGGTTCACTGGCTACATTTATGAAATGAATGTCATCAAACTTGTTGCTTTCCCTCCTTGTTCATCAAATTTGAGGAATTGGAATGTATGCCAAAAGGTAAAAAAAAAAAGATGATGCAGTTAGATTTAATTATAGCAGGTGATTTTAATATTTTGTTGTGCTTTATTTGGATTGCCTGATATTGGGAAATGAAAAGAGTGGTGATTATTACGTTGCTTTATTCTTTTTATCCCTTCTTTTTTTTTGTGTTTGATTATTTTGGTACCTTGAAACCACATATGTTTGATGGTTCAAATTTACAAGTATATCATATTGGAATACATTTATGGATAAGAGTTGGATACATTTATTGGAATGCGTNTGGTTCAAATTTACAAGTATATCATATTGGAATACATTTATGGATAAGAGTTGGATTCATTTATTGGAATGCGTTTATGGATNTGCTTTATTTGGATTGCCTGATATTGGGAAATGAAAAGAGTGGTGATTATTACGTTGCTTTATTCTTTTTATCCCTTCTTTTTTTTTGTGTTTGATTATTTTGGTACCTTGAAACCACATATGTTTGATGGTTCAAATTTACAAGTATATCATATTGGAATACATTTATGGATAAGAGTTGGATACATTTATTGGAATGCGTTAGGTGAAACCTAGAAATTTATTTGAAGTCTATGGACAACAACCAAGAGAAGATGCTAGGATGCAGCATAACCAGGTGGAAGAATATGGGCAACAAGATTTAGATGAGACTGTTATCGATCATGATGACGACGACATGGTCTGGGTTAGACAAGGTGTTGTTGGAACCACAGTTCATGGTTATGATGATGAATGATATATGAATTATTTTTTTTGTTAATATCATGAGACTTTATACATTTAATTGTTTTGGATTTTCATTGCAATGTAAAATGTCGAGCTCTCTTTTAATATCATGAAACTGCTTAGTGTTTATATCTTGATGACACACTTTATAGTTTGCTATGGTTCATTGCAATGTAAAATGTCGAACTCTCTTTTAAATAGTTCATAGTTTGCTATGATGGAGAATGTGCACATGATTCTAGAACCACCATCATGATGGCACCCTACTTCTAGCCTCCCAGGTACATTATTTGATTGTAAATTATGTTTTTCTCACAATTTGATATTATGCATACAATTTTATGTTTAGTAATTTAAGTATTTATAATTCAGGTTTTAGTACCAACCATCCATTTTGTTACCTATCACTAGACGATGATGGCAATACATCACACAACGACGGCGGTATATTTTAGTAATGGAGGAATAGATAGTAATAATTTTCACTAAACATGATATTGTAATCACTCAACAATTTTTTTTTAAGTGTAGGTTCCAATTCCTCGGATTCTATACAGAGACGAATTAGAGGTCCTACCTCGACGCATGGTAGCAGTGTGCTACACATTGAGGAAAATGAATTAAAGCAACCAATTGGTGAAAAAGCTGCTCCACTTCAATCTCGTTTAGGCATGCTAGCTCGAAATGGGACCATGGCACCCTTAAATTAGCATGAGTGGCATGAGTATAAAGAAAGAATATGGGATGAAATAAATGTGAAAGGGTTTTGAATTTATTTTATAGTTACTAAGTGATTGTATATAGCTTTTGCATGTTATTAGTGGTTTTTGAATGGAATTGTAGGCAAGCATTGATGCAAATGGATGAAAGGATATCTAATGAAGTCTATAGGGAGGAAGTGGAAAGACTGGAAGTGTGAGATTAAGAAACAAGCTTATTATCCCTATAGAACTGATGTAGAAAGATTAGCTCACAAGCCTAACCGAGTGGAGGAATCACATTGGCGGGTCTTGGTCTATTATTGGAGCACTCAGAAGGCACTGGTACAAATATGCAAGTGTAAATCTTGTCAATTATAAAAGAAGTCATTTCTCTTTTTCTTCAAATTTTTATGAAAATTGCTTTTGGCATGTAATAGGAAAAAAGTGAGAGGAACAAGCTCATTCGGAGCAAGAAAAAATTTTGTCACACCATTGGCCGAACAAGCTTTGCATATGTTATGGAAAGAGTTTGTTAGAAAACCAATGTGTTTTATAAAAGACTTTTATTCTAGTTTATTTGTTGTGTCTATTTTAACTGTAGGAAAAGAAAAAAAATAATGGGAAGAAAATGAGTCATATTGAATTTTTTAAGATNCGTTTAGGCATGCTAGCTCGAAATGGGACCATGGCACCCTTAAATTAGCATGAGTGGCATGAGTATAAAGAAAGAATATGGGATGAAATAAATGTGAAAGGGTTTTGAATTTATTTTATAGTTACTAAGTGATTGTATATAGCTTTTGCATGTTATTAGTGGTTTTTGAATGGAATTGTAGGCAAGCATTGATGCAAATGGATGAAAGGATATCTAATGAAGTCTATAGGGAGGAAGTGGAAAGACTGGAAGTGTGAGATTAAAAAACAAGCTTATTATCCCTATAGAACTGATGTAGAAAGATTAGCTCACAAGCCTAACCGAGTGGAGGAATCACATTGGCGGGTCTTGGTCTATTATTGGAGCACTCAGAAGACACTGGTACAAATATGCAAGTGTAAATCTTGTCAATTATAAAAGAAGTCATTTCTCTTTTTCTTCAAATTTTTATGAAAATTGCTTTTGGCATGTAATAGGAAAAAAGTGAGAGGAACAAGCTCATTCGGAGCAAGAAAAAATTTCGTCACACCATTGGCCGAACAAGCTTTGCATATGTTATGTAAAGAGTTTGTTAGAAAACAAATGTGTTTTATAAAAGACTTTTATTCAAGTTTATTTGTTGTGTCTATTTTAACTATAGGAAAAGAAAAAAAATAATGGGAAGAAAATGAGTCATATTGAATTTTTTAAGATTGCATATTCATAGAAAGATGGTCGACTAGTTAATGATGTTGTTGCACAAGCCTTGGTATGTAATATTGGCAAGAAAGATGTTCACTATTTATCCATTCTTATTTCGCCTATATTTCATATTTATTTCAAATTATTTTTTGCTACAGTCAAACATGGATGAACTTGTGTCACAAATGTCGGAGTCTTCTATGCAATCTTCATCTACAGTGGATGAAGTTTTCACTCAAGTCATGGGACTAGAGCGAACTGGACATGTTAGAACATATAGTTTTGGACCATCTCCGAGAGATGTGTTTGGACATAAAAAATCAGAAGAGATGCAAGCAATGCAATCCAGCTAGATGAGCAATTTAGTAGACATAATGCAGAGATGGAGGTTAAGCAGTTAGAGATGGAGGCTCAAAAGACACAAATGGAGAAGCAAATGAGTCATGGAAGCTAAATTTGAGGCCTAACAAAGACAGTTTGAGGTTTTTCTAGTTCAAATGAGTGCAATGGATATGCCTATTCCTGAACCAGCTCGCAAAAACACAGATTCACTTCAGGTTGAAAAGGTAATAAAAACTTCAACGACTTGTATTTTGAGTTAGAAGAGTTATTGGATTATTGTATTATTGTATTATTTTTCTCTATGAATATTAAGTATTTGCAATCTTAAAAAGTACCTGATGCATATAATACTCATAATATAAACTCTCATTGATCATCGATGAAGAGTGAGTCAAGAAAATCATCTAGGCCCAAGTGGCTTGCATCTTGTGGATTGATGCTTTAAGGAGTTCAAATGTGCTTTGATGGGTCATGAGCAGACAAATTTTCATACTCCTGTGGACGAAAAATTTGATATTTGAGACAATTCTTTCTTTTTACAAGGAACGGATTTTATTTCATAAAAGTCTGAGACGAGAAAGGGGACCCCTCATGTATTCTACAAACAGGGGCGGAGCCACCTTGGGCTAGAGTGGGCACATGCCCCTCAATTTTTTTTGCTTCATATTATTCACGTATTTTTTGAAATAAAATGTAGACATTTAATTATGTTCATCCTAATATTGTGTTCTAGTGATATTGATTTGAATAAACCCTTATCTTGTTAATTTTTTGAACAACGTTATTGAAACCTAATTTAAGGACCCAATGATAAAAAACTATTGGGTTTCTATCAATTAAATCTCAAATTAAGTTCAATTTATATAATTGTTAACTTTAAGACATGTTTTAGACATGTTCGAATATGTTTTGAACATATTGGTGTTATTTTATAATTTTTTTAAATT